ACTACTTGTTTTTTAATTCTATATAAAAGAACTAATTCTGTAATGATATTTTTTAATTTAGATTTCGCTAATCCCTACAAAATTTTTATTTCACCGAATACCAATTTCATTTCATGATAAACGAACATTCCATTGCCTTATAGTTAAAACATAAAAAACGATTTACTAGTATATTTAAAAATGCATAAATTATAGAATAATTTGGTCGGATTTGTACAAGTAGGTATTTTAATTTTTGTAATTATTTTGCGTTTTAAAAAAGTTATTGAGTAAACACTATTGTAGCCACGCCAAGGCAATCCTGCGATCCTGATTAGTATGAGTATGATTTTCATTTAATTTTACTAACATTGAATCAAGGATACACAAAATCTCTAAGATCTCTTTTCAGTGTTAGGAAATAATATTCATAGCAGTATATTTACAGTAAGTACGCGACTTTACTAATGGCATATTTATTACATTACTTCACAAATCTTGTAAAATGTATTATGCCTCAAGCCTCTCAATAAACGATAGCTCCAGTAAAGAGCCATTTTTCACATGTAAGACGGTAGTTAACGTCACATACTATAAATTTTATTCTCGAGAGAGACTGAAAGTCTTGCCAACAATGTGCACAGCGGATGTATCGGAAAGTTAGTGGCTTTGGCGAAATTTTAGTGAACAATATTTCATTCAAAATGTAATATTAAAAAAGACATTTAATCTATTTCTTGAGAGGATTTCTGAATACCCAAGGACCCAATGGATTACATTGTATAGGAAGTGACGGCGGGGGAGGCATAAATAATAGACACACAGTAGATTTTTGTGTCAATTTTTGCGTTATCTATTAATGGAATTAAATGTAATAGAGGAAGATCACGAGATTGCAGTGGGTTTTACTTTTGTTCTGTGGGCTTTCCAATTTTATTTAGTGAAATTTTATGTTTTTTTGTAATACATTTTGTTTGCATCATCCCTGCCTACCGCCAACTCATATGCTCGCCTTTTGGGATTTCATTTAAGTTTACTGAGTTGTACCTCGAGTAGTCTGTAGTTTTTGACAAAAGTTTTTCTGTCAACTGCAGGGACGACTCTAGGAGTATTTCAAAACTAAAGCTCGTTAAAAACTTTTTCGATCTTCTACAGCCGAAGAAGGATTGGTTATGAAATCGATAGAGCGGGAGTTATGTGATGAAATAGACTACTGCAGTATTATTAATTACAGCAAAGTCAAGAAAAGCCCATTTCTGAAGAACGTTTGAGTTTTCGGTCAAAAATTTATCGAAAGTAGCTACTAGACGCAGATTGCGATTTCGATCTTATTTGATCTCATCAGCGTAATACCTTAGTAAGGTCTTATCTAACGCTTTAAATACTTTAGTAGCACCTGAGATACTAAATAACTGAAAAGAGTTTGTTTCTATTTTCCGTGAGTCTGTTTATGATTCAATTACCCTGTATTTAAAATTTTGAATACACCAGTATAATACATCCAATTTTTTTCACCCTCTCCTGAATCACAACCTCAGCGACCCCACTTTGCCGTTGCACGCGGCCTGCAAAAGTCTAAGCCGGCCCTGGTCGAGTGTAATGAAATTTTGAGAAAATATACTTAACTGGTGCATGTTTTCGTGTGGTAGATTGATACTAGTAAAAAGGGGAGAATTATAGACGTATGTATATAATCTAGGAAAGCCGAATTAACTCCCCGGTTTTATTTTATCTTAAGGATAAAAAGGAGGAGGGACCAGCCAGGTACCCGGTTTGGTTCTAGTACCCAGCGGATTTGGCAATATTTTTAGGATCCGGTCAGGTAATTCTATCAGAGGAAAATGAAAAAACAAACACCAACAATAATAATTCAATAAGTATAACAAAACACCTACCTAATGAAAATTGGTAGTTAAGATTGTATTGCGATAGGTTGTTTTTCCTAATTTGTATTATTTATTAATTACTAAGGTACAGGCGCCAATGAAGGCCCACTTAATTTCAAAACCTCGTAAAATTTTACAGATAAGTAACGTAAAGAAAAAACATAATGGAAGTTGTTATATATTTATTTGAGAAACAAGATATCTAAAAAAGTAGTAAAGCTTTTGGCATTTTAACACAAATGTAAACACTNATACATGTTTTTAATTACATATTAAAAAGTTAAAATCATATTTATGTTGTAAATGTTTCTGAATATGAAAATAAAAATAGTGTAAGTACGTATTATTTGTTAAATGTTATGCTTATTCCTTGTCCAGCGATAACCCTAATGACGAACGATAATTACACACTTAAGAAATGTTAATTAGCTGTATGTACTCATGTGTAAAATGTATAAAATATCAGCAGTAGGTATAATGCTATCTGCTTTTGATACGATAAACAAATGGTTTCAGTAATTCATAAACACAAAGAAATGCAGATTTCATTCATTAAATCTTAAATGTTAAAAACGCATCAAGTGAAAAACGGTATGTTTAAAAATTGCTTATTTTCGGTAAAGGCAGCTTTAAATTATATTATTATATTTTATTACTGACTTCAAATTTAATACATTATTATTCAATATCAACAACAAGTCAAACTTATAACAAACAAACATACAAACACAAAAATATACTAACACTACATTTGAATAAACCTAGGAAGGCCCGGACTATGTTTGGGAATTATATTATGGGCCATGATAGGAAATTACACTCGGATTGAGTATAATTTCATAAAAATACGAAAAAGGAAATAAAATAATAACTCTCACCTATAATTCGCTGATTAAATATAAATTTTCACAGTTTAGAGCAACGAGATTTGTTTTAAATTTGTAAATTTTCAAAATGATTTAGATAATGGAGGTTATAAAGCGTGCATCATCTTAACATGACCAAGCAAACTGTCATCTGCCTAGTAGCATAAACCCGCGAAATTTAAAATGTTTCGAATAATCATAACCGTATTTTTTTAAAAGTGGGCTATCCTAGGAGCCGGACCATAGTTCTTGTAGTTACTTTTTCTCGTGAATAATACGTCACAATTTCTATCAGGTTTAGGTTAGGTTATTAACGATGACTTATTAGTATGATTTTGTCACCTTGCAGACTTTTACTGTATATAAACATTATAGGCTCATTTCAACGGTTTCACCTCAACTCTGTCGTTAAAAATCCATTCACCAAGAATTACAATTTTATTGGTTTAATGTTTAAACGACTTTTTGAACGGGATTTGAATGCGATTTAGGGCGTTGGTGAGGCTGGTTTTTAATGGAAAACCCCCCAAAACGAAGACATAAACCGTTAACCGTACTGCTTTTGACGGGTGCCCGGTTGTCCGGTGCATCCTAACTAATATTATAAATGCGAATACGAGTTTGTTTGTTTGTTTGTCAGATTTTCACGCCTTAACTACTCCACCGATCATTATGAAATTTTATACAGGGGTGCAAAAAATGGCATAGGGTACCTTTTATCCAGAAAAAATATTGTTTCCGAGGGATAGAAAAAGATTAGCTTTTTGTGGTCAATTTCACGCCTTAACTACTCAATCGATAATCATAAAATTTTTAGACACATTTTCAAGTGTACAGAAAAGAATTAGGGTACGTTTTATTCAGAAGAAAAAATGCTGTTCCCGAGGGATAGAAAAATTAATTTTATATGGTCGTCGATGACTTTTGACACGTTTAGGACATGTTACCCACCGGATGATATGAATAATGAATAAATCTAAAAATATCTGCAACAAACCAAATGATTGTTTTAGAAAATACCACAAATGGCGCGGTAAATGCCATCTGTAGTACGATGCTACATTTTAGGATTACGTATGCTCCAACAAGGTCCATTTAAATATATGGATATCTACTTGCTGAAACGAATCCCGGCGTAGCTAACCTGATAGACACGTTACCATAATCGAATAAAATAATTCGAAGTAGTCTGTATTCTGTCGAAAATGCCAGACGCGGATCGCGATTTCGATCATTTTGGATCTCATCAGCGCGTTTCAGCAAGTAAATATCCATACAAATGGACCTTGTTGGAGCATAGGTAATCCTAAAATGTAGCATCGTAGTACAGATAGCGTTTACCGCGCCATTTGTGGTATTTTCTAAAACGCGCTGTTAAGATAGCAGGTAAAAGTTGATCTGTGTTCTGTCGGAGGTGTATGCGACGCGCTCATGAGATCCAAAAAGATCGAAATCGCGATCCGCGTCTGGCAGTTTCGACAGAATACAGACCACTTCGAATTATTTTATTCAAATGATTGTTGTTTAATTATTAAATATTTGTATACCTACAAAACGTAAAAGATAACATTTTTTCAGGTGGCCCTTATTTTGGGTCGAGATGGCAAGATTTTTTTACGTGCACCAGACGGCTTAGAAGATTGGTTCGAACTTCTCGAAGAATGCATGCTGACTAGTAAAGAGAGAAGAAGAGCCCTTAGACACAATTCACGAGATGAAAAATCTAAAGACAATAACAACGTGCTTAACTCTTTAGAAGACTGGTTAGCGTCTCGTAGAAAACTACGTAAGTACCCATTTTTAAATAAATATTATATTAATAAAACAAATAATATTTTAAAAAATTGGTCTGGGTGCGACCGGAAAGGTCCACACGGCTAACTTCCCAGTGGAAGAGAATAAAACACACAGAGACATCCACTTAAATACTGTAGCATTCAACCCTACAACTGTAGGGACCTTGCGCTAAAAGAACATTTTGGGAAACATCGACATAAAGTAGTTGCCAAGGTGACAATATTAATCAAAACTTAATAAAATAATCAAACAAGTCAACAGAACACAACCACAAAATTTAAAAAACGAACATTGCTAAGGAACATTGATTAACATACTAAACTACCTTAAACTACCTACAACTAAGGATGAGGATCTACTTGTTATTACAAAATAAACTATCAAAAGGCATTTTGATTCACTAAGGCAACCATTTTTTTGGCAGAGCCAATGAATTTTAACTTCGGTCGGAATACTTTTTACTGACTTGCTTCAGAAAAACGCGTTTTGTCTAGCAAGAACTAGTTTTAACTGATTTTGATTTTGAGCATTAGTTAATTCTAGTTTTAACAAAGTCATTTAGTAAAAACTAGTTCTCACTAGGGAAAACGCGTTCTATCTAAAAACTGGTTTTAACTGTAACAAAGATATGTCAAAATTTAGGATTTCTAGCATTACTATAAATTCCCACTGGAAAGTTAATAAGACAAAAAACATACATGTTTTTAATTACATATTAAAAAGTTAAAATCATATTTATGTTGTAAATGTTTCTGAATATGAAAATAAAAATAGTGTAAGTACGTATTATTTGTTAAATGTTATGCTTATTCCTTGTCCAGCGATAACCCTAATGACGAACGATAATTACACACTTAAGAAATGTTAATTAGCTGTATGTACTCATGTGTAAAATGTATAAAATATCAGCAGTAGGTATAATGCTATCTGCTTTTGATACGATAAACAAATGGTTTCAGTAATTCATAAACACAAAGAAATGCAGATTTCATTCATTAAATCTTAAATGTTAAAAACGCATCAAGTGAAAAACGGTATGTTTAAAAATTGCTTATTTTCGGTAAAGGCAGCTTTAAATTATATTATTATATTTTATGACTAAATTAAGGGATGTATGGAAAACAACACATTCGTTTTCTATGATACATAGTCCAACCCAACCTACCCTAACCTCAAGGTACAGTCAATTCGGTAATTATGACATGCCAATCCTTTCCAATATTGGAATAAGCGAATGGACTGAGTGCTCTCCAGAAAGAGAAAAAGTTGCATTGTGTTTAAAACCTATATCTTTTCTGCAAGCCATAATAAACTCAGACAACTACTGACCGCACATTTGTTTTGTCTCTATCGCACTTTAGTCTGTATTTAGTTCACAACTTAATTCGAAACATTTAGGCCATTTTTTTTGTCTATGTTTCCAACAGTAACCTAACGTTTATTATACGATCGGACTTAGCCTTTGCTGAATAGCATTTATTCTATTGTTATTAACTCAAATAAATTGTTTCCAAACATTAATTTCTCTAATTTTAACCCTTTTTGTATAACTTTTTATAAATATAGATTCTTACATAATTTTTTACATTCAATAATTCTACATTCTAAGCGATAAACTAAATGAACTACTGAAGTATGTATTTCATCGAAAAAATTGAATTTTTTAAGCGTTTAAATTTTACGATTTTGCTTATACTACAAAATTTTAAATATTAATTCTAAAACACCGAAAGTTCGCCTGACGCATTCCCCTTTCTCAATTAAACTGCTGTCCCGTGGATAATGCGGTTTCATCAATAATCACTGTAGTGGGCGTATGTAATTACATCCTTCTTCTGTACGTTGCTGGTAAACTGTAACCTTTACCAACTTTATCTGGCCAATTTTTAGTGTCAGATCGGTGTTCATATATAGTGGCAGAGACTAAAGTTTTCCTTGAAAACTAAATTCATTCAACAGTAGGCACTAGCGTAGCGTGGGGAGGGGGGGCAATGGGGGCAACGGGTGGCTCAAAAGTAGGGGCGGCAAAAATATTTTTTTCGGTATTAGATAGAATTAGGTCCGCCTCGCAGTAATGTTAGATGCCCCAATTTCTTAGTATTTGTACCAATTTTTAATAATTTGTATCATGTAACAAGCATTACCGTCTAGGTACTTAAAAATTCTTTATAAAGACTTTTGTGTTGTTAAAAATATGTGAAAAGTATCGGTCCTGTATCCAAACGTAAATTCAGCCACCATAGCAAAAGCTGAAAGGCGAATGGTCAATCCCTAACGATCCACTTTATGATAGGGACGAAGGCCTTGCAGAATAGGTACCTACGATTACAAAATCGTAACAATCGTAGAAAAACATACCAAAAAGCAGAAACACAAATCGTCTGGTGGACTATTGGGATCCGTCAAATGGGCATACACCATCTGGTGGCAAATTTTATAATTCGAATGAGGGAAAAATTTACATAGGAACTGTGCACGCAAATTGTAAAATTGTTTATTAAAATAATAAAACACGATAAAAAAGTAAAAATTTTTTTGGTGATGGAGTCGACGAAGTTTTCTTCTAAAGTTAAATCAAATAAAAAGTTAATACGTTCAGTGAAAAGCTGCAATAGCACTTCAGACATAGATCTTCACTCTTCACCTACATTAACTACTTTCCAATAAAAACTAACCGTTTTATATATGTAAAAAATATATTCGGAAAATTATAGAAAAAAGTAAACTAATAGAAGCTTGGATAAAAGCAGTAGGTATCAAAGAAGTGAATTCTGGAATAAAAATTTGTTCACGTCATTTTAATGCACTCTGATTTTACCTCTCTTAACCTATGGTTCTTTGATTTGGTCTCCCTATACAAAACAATCCCAAAAAATCCTAGAGAACATACAATATCGTGCAATAAGGTATGCTCATGGAAATCTAATAAAAAAGAATGATCACAATTATACAAATTATATGAAGCGATACTCACTTTTAAGTATAATTTCTCTCCCTAAATATCATGACATACTTATTTGTATATAAACTCCTATCTGGACACTTAAATTGTCCCCCTTTATCTGCACATTTTGCAAACCGAAAAATTAACTACGATATCAGAAACCCAAATCCTTTGGCAGAGTCTACATACAAATCAAATTTTGCCTACTTTAATCCTATAGCAAGACTTCGTCGAATTTGGAATACATTCTCTCCTACCCTTATAAATGTTGGCACTATATCACAACTAAAAAAAATGAAATATATTGATAAAATTATTGTATTCTTTTTGTAACTGGTTGTAAACCCGTAATCTATAATAAATAAAATAAAAATAAAATAAAGTGATGTAGAATTATCGAAACTTTAAAGCATTGTAAAAGTATGAAAAGAATATATATCCCCCTTGCGACAATAAAATACTGACGATCAGGATCGTGATAGCTATTTGAAGAACCGAAACATTAACAATTCTTAATGAATCCTGAGATGAATCCTCAAAATCCGCTTGCTATTCTGAATTATGTATATAAATGAAGTAAGTTATGTGAGGCCTTTGCATATGCACATGTTTAATTTTAAATTCCCTAGCTACGCCAAAGGATTTAATAACAAGCGTGGACGTGGCATTTCATATTTTCTTTTTAATATATAGATATCTACCATTTGCATACCCGTAGGTAGTGCTGGAGAAAACTATCTATAGTATATACATAGGTATCGGTAACAATTAATAGCAACTGAAAACTATCGATATATCTATATTTTCGCTAATTATCTATTAGTTATCAATATATCAACAGTTATCGATAATTATCTAATAAATCGATAACTATCGATATATAACAGCTAAACTTAAGAAAGGCCTTTTTTAATAAAGCCCTCCTATAAAAATACTATGTATATACGGTAATTAGTTGTCGAATGATAAAATTCCAAAATTAAGGAATAAAAATTCGTTTGTTATTTAAATAAAAAAATTGCAAGATGCCACATCTAAATAATAATATCAAAGCCTCATATTTTAACAGGATCTATGTCTATGGATACTCCATCGATTTTTCAATGTTTTTCGAAAAAAACAAAACAGTCACTTTAATTGAAACACCCTAATATTACTAGAAAGAAAAAGTAAGGAATAAGTTTAACGATTGGTGTAAATGAAATTGTACATATAAATTAATTTTTTTATTCAACTCACTTTTCTTTATCGAAATTATCTTCATCTTGATTTCCCAACTGTAATATCTGATCTTTTAAACCTCGTTATTATATCTTTGAGATTCTACAAGGTTCATATATTTTGTTGCAGCCCCAAGCCGTTTGCCGACAGACAGCGTCAGCACGAGACAAGACAGCGTGCGACGCCGGGACTGTCGCAATTGGACGCAGCGAGACGACGACTGGGAAAATCCGACGCTCGACAACAGACTGTCTCGTAAGTGACGTTTCAACTTTTTATTTTTTCCTTTTAACCCTCTTTTTCGCTGCCGCCAGATAGATAATAAAATAACCAACAACCAACCGACTAAACTAGGCTGCTACTCGACCAAATTGAAATCGATTTCACATAATACAATTTAAATATTCATCGTAGGGAATCCAGTAGACTTGTGGCAACAAAATTTTTCATCAATAATAATTATATTACATAGTCGACTCAGTGAAGGTTTTCACTTTTTAATTCTCTGGAAATATGATTTTAATTTTAATCATTTTGTTCATGTATTTCTTAATATTGTTAAAAATTAGAAACATCCCAATTGGGGCAAGTACTTTGTCATATTGTTTAATATCACAAGTTGCAACTCTTGCGGAAGTTCCGCATACTTTTTCACATCTGGTTCCGCTTTTTTATGATGGAAGCTCACCGTAACTTAACAAAATCTTATTTCTCATCTCTCTAAAAATCAATAAATATATCGGAACAATAAAACAAGTAAAAATTTATCAGTGTTATCTGTTGACTGAACTTCACCGTTTTCAAAGACAATTTAAATGAAATTACTCGTAGGAATGTTGCATATTAGACAGCCTATTGGGCGACCCCACTGTAACGTTGTGAACGTATTATTATCCACCCTTTAGTTTTAGGATGTATTAGCGTATTTGCGACAAGTAATACTTTCCCTGTGCAAATAATTTTATTGTACTTGAGGGCCTAAATCTATTTCCAAATATTTTCAAAATTTTATTCTCTTATTGGTTTCCTACTTTAATCTAGAAACGTCTCGGACTTCTAGCTCCCCCTTAAGAGTCCTAATAATTTCATTTCGAAAATACCAACATAGTTATAGCGCTAATTTATTTTGTATAGTGTTTGTTCAGTGTTGTAAGTTTTAAGTTAAAAATGCAATTTTGTAATTATTTTGTTGATATTAACTACGCAAATGTCAAATATAAAATCTGTAATAAAATATTCGCAAAAAGCTTGCACGACCACTGCATTACAGATTCACCTAAAATCATTACACTTCCGCATTCCGCATCCGCTTCTGTTTCCTCTTCCGTAAAAATTTACTATTTACTTCTGTTTCCGTTACATCACTAAATTGTTTAAACAATAATAAGAGTATTTTCAGGAAGTGTCTATTTTTATGCCTTTCGCAATTTTCATAAAAAAATTAATTGCCTTTATTAAAAATTTAGGAAAAGAAATAGTTTGAAACATTTCGAGGCTAATAATATACTTATTCATGTTGTTTAAACAATAATAAATATCTAATGCCATTTACATTAATTTTTTCGTGTCGTTTATCAAAAAGTGAGTCGTTTTTGTTAAAAATTTATTAAAAATGTCTACCCATTGTTAGCTAAAAGGTCGTTACTATTATAGGTACTTAAAGATATTGTGTTCAACGAATCACAATTCAAAACCGCCAAGTATAGGTTAAATTAATTACTCAGTTTATAGATTCACGGTTCTCATACATTAGTCACAAAATCAGAAACTCTCATAAAGTTCCAATCAAAAACTTACAACCGCGATTGTTATAGATATTCCCCGAAATACGGACTTTTTTGTTTAGATTATTCTCGAGGAAGGGAAATCTTCAAAAGAAACCCCCTGAAAGAGGTAATGTTGGATTTTTACCTACTAAAACACCTCCTCGAGTGGGGAGATATATCCTGAGGGTTGCTCATCCCCGGAAAGGGAATGGAGGGTTGGGATTGGGGAAAGGGTTGAGGGGGGAAAATGGTTAAGCGTGGGAGGTATTGAGGGGGGGGTCGGAATAGGTGGTCCATAAAATACGGACTTGATTGAAATTTATTTATAGTAATCCTGGACCAAAATAACCTCTTATTTCAATAACCAGTTGTTATCGTCTATATTATTTTTAATAGACAGTTTAACCGGTTACTAAACCCACTAACCGGTGATCAGTTATTTTACGATTAGCGTTGCTTTTTGTTCACTTCACGTTTCGTTATTCGGAATTTGTTAATATTTTAGTTGTCAGTACACAACACTACTCTGTATGTCCTTACAAGGTTTCTATTTCTGTAGGTTTTCTACTCTTTCTGTAGGTGTTGCAGTTTACACTACCACTACTACTATAGTAAATAAAATTTCATTGTATACTCACTGTTTTGTATAATAAGAGCCTTATAAATTAACGAAATACTTATGTATCAATAAATTGCAATATATCCAGACATGTTTTTTTTTAAGAAATTGAAACGGTGTCTTCAATGTCCCTAGCATTTTGTTCATTATTCTGGTGTGAATAGTAGCAATGAGCATATGTTCAATTATGCTTTTGTTTGTAAATTATGTTTGTTAGTTGGACACCAACAAATGCATTCACCAATATAATTACTTGCATATAAAAAGCAACCTATACGGCTTGTTGTATGCAGTTTGTGTACACACGAGTTCAAGTTTGATGAATAATAATTTAACTGAAACAATGGGTCATAAATATAATTGAAATTAAAACCGCAGTCGATGAACACCTAAATACTTTTGCCTTATTAATTGCTTGTAAAATTCACACATATAAAATATTACATAAATTTAATATTGTAGTGAGCACGAGCGTGTTTGTGTGCGATCGGGCACATGTGTATGTGAGCGGCTTATCGATTCGCCGACTAGCCGCGGGCGCCTTTCTTCGTGTGCACTGTATTTGTAAATGTGTGTGTCGTGCCAGCGTTCTGGGAAAAGCTGTTAAACAGTTCAAAGAAAAAATAAACGATCCGGATGTTTCTAGAGGGTTCCAGAAAGTAAACAAAAGAGTATTGAAAGGAAGAGACGATCGCCGAGAAAAGGAGAAATAAATTGACCGTTGCAGAAATAAATTGACAGTGATAGCAGTGAAATAGTGATATATCAACAGCAGTGTAATAAATAGAATAATTCATAACCTAAGTTTAGTAATAAATTAATAGTGTTTTTAAGTTCTTCAATAATTAGTGTAAATAAATAGTTTTGTCGTTATAAGTCTTAGAAGTTAATTTTGTTATATATATACTTACGATTTCTTTTGAAGCTTAATAAATTGCCCTGGACCATAAACGTAATTAGTCATACGTGTATGTAGTAGTCAAAGTAGAATCCAAAGCACAATACAAAATACATTGTTTTGTTTGAAAGTAACAACATGTAAACAAACCCAAAGCTAAAGAAACTATGGATTCAATTTATTTCTCTTACTACAATGTACAAAAGATCAGATTTCACATCAATAAAATTATTCGCCACCCTATTTCTTTCACGCTAAGCAAACTATTTTAATATCAGTATCATTAAAACGATGACAAAGACAAATAAGGAAGCATATAGAAGAATTATTTGTTGCTGAAAATTATTTCGAAAATACCTACTTTGCATTTAGCATTTGAAATATAAAAGGGAAATCTATTTTGTATTTTACATTTAAAATGCATTTGCACTTTGTATTTAATTACTTTTAAAAACTGATTTTACTCACTCTGTAATCACTACGAATGCGATCGTATACAATAACCCTTATAACAATAGAAAGTATTACATATATATTAATCAAATACGGTGCCGCAATAGTAAAATGAATTACATTTTATTGATTTCAATATGGAAGCACAATGTAATTATTTATGGGTGCATTTTTAATTTTTCGTTCTATAACAAAACATTATTATTTATCTTGACTATTAAATGTGGATCGCGAATTTGGACTTACTTGTTCTAATTTTTTTTTGTGGAAGAGGGGCAATCTTCGAAAGACACCCAGCTGTCCATATGACTCGGATTTCCGAAGAAGGTGTCCTTGGATGTTCCGACTAAAACCCCTCTACCTAAAGCCGTTATAAGACCAATTTAGGTCCTGTTCAGACGATTGTGGTTATTAATGTTATGAGATTGTGTATTTTGAAAATGAACTATACGTTTGTGTGTGGGGGGGGGACGTTATTTTAAGGAGTTGGGTAGGTTACTCAGGTAATCGATGAATTCATCAGGGAGGTCGGGAGTGGTTGCCAATAATTTGGCAGTAGTTGAAGGGACTTGTCCTCGTCTGGTGTTATTCCGTTAAAGATAGCATAATATCAAACTACAGGCAGTATATCTCCATCTAGCGGTGTAATATTTCAAATGTTTCACAAAGCGCTACAATGGAATTTATTTGGCAATACAGCGTGACAGTAAACCAAAGTAATAAGAACAGTTTTAAGTTCTTAGCCAATAATTTATCTAAGCTACCGGATGTTGATCGCCATCTCGAACGTATTTCTTCTCAACAGCACGCCTATAATCTTTAGCGTCCCTCCTGAAGGTCACCCCCATTTCATGAATCAGTAATCTCGAACGCTAAACGAATTTCCTTCTGGGGAGTGGGTACCTTCCACTAAAACCTCTCTACTTCAAACCGTAATAGGGCTCTAAGACCGATTGGTTTGAATTCATCTTCAGCCATGTGATCAATTGTTCAATAATATCTCTGTGTGTGTGTGTGTGTGTGAATAATAAATTTACAATAGGTGATTTTTGCATCTGAATGTTATCCGATGTCCTTTTATGCACCATAGAGAACTACTGATCTGTATTAGTTAACTAGTTATTTCAATAAAAAAGATTCATTGAACTAAATGCGTCATTCCTAACTTTGTAATCACGCTGTATAGACTAGTACTTCATTGTACTCTTTCAGAAATTCCGGCAGGGTTTCCTTCCTGTTCCTCTTATTGTTAGATGGTATTGAATTAATTCCCTTTTTCCACAGGTTGGGCTATGGCATCGTCTTTTAAGACACATGCATACATTAATTTCACCGTCTAGTGGAATCGATTATTTAGTGCACACATTTATACATATACCCTCTATTCCTCAGAATCTGATTGAATTGCCTTAATCTGGTTGGCGAATGTTTCAAATCAATATGGCTTAACGGAATTACTGTACAAGTGCATACGTATTTATCTGTTTACGTAGAATAAGCAGTTTCTCGGTTGCAAACC